GGCCCGTGTGGGATTTGGGAGGGGAACTTGCTGCTGGCGGCACCGCCGCTGTCATCTTAGGGTGGGGCGGGGTGGGCGCTCCTCTCCTCAGGGATGGCTCGGTTTGTGCCGCTTTGTTTTCCCGGCTCCGCATTAGAAAGACGGGTGGGGGCGGGAATCCAAAAAAAGAATCCATGGTGTGGCGGCAATGCGCCTTCCCAGCGCTGTTTTAAAGCGACGTGGGAATGCCATTTGAAAATGCCGACAGTAGATTTTTTTTTTTTAAATTTATTTATTAGCACTTAAATGATTGCAGACAACATGGAGGGATACATACATTTACCCCAGTATACATACCACTAAATGTATTGGGGTAGGTCTATGAGGCTTGCATCGTTTTGCATCCTTTTCTGTGCTTAGATGTGCTTTGCAAACACTTGCAGGTATTCTTAATTTTGAATTAGTGAATAGTTATATTACTAATGCTTAATCTGGTGTCACTGTTATCAAGCTTAGTATAAAAGCATTTATAGATCTCTCATCTGTTGTAGAACCATTTCTGCACTCTCTTTACTGACTTTGATTTGCTTAAAAATAGTAAACCTAAGCTTTTATTCACTCCACCCAGTCACGCAGTTTTTCATACCTGTGTTCTAAGTCTTTGTTAAGTTCTGAAGTGGGTTTTTTTCACCTTTTGTTTATCATTGACCTTCTTGTCTGTATTTAATTGTGTTAGTTATTTAGCAAAACTTTTTGTAGAGTTTTTGTCTTTGAAAGATCCACGAATTTCTTAGCAATGTACAAAAAGTTTGGGGGAAAAAAATGATATTGCACATATTTTACAGGTCTTTTTGGCCATCACACTTGTACTTACTTTGCTTTGCAATTTTTAGCAATCCTACTAAATCTTTTAATAAATCTGTATTTTGAATCCTACAACTGTATGTAGAAAGATACATAGCTTACATACTGCTAAGTTATAGCACGCCAATATTTAAGCTGTTGAAGTGAAAAGTAAAAGGTAGATATTGTGTCGGTACTCTCCTTGCTGTTTTCAATCTCATAGTTGGCTCTGTAGCTGTACAGAATCCTATAGCAAGATCAGATAGCCCCATCTCCAGAGCCTAACACTTCTTTCAAAGCAGTTCCTTCAAACAGCATCAGAACTACCTTAGGAATGGATGCTGTCGCATATCATAGTTCTGTCTGTTTGTTTTAAATCAGTCCCTTTAGTACTGAGAATGTGTTAAGTGGAAGAAACGTGGCAATAGGAATGTGGTTTTTTTACTTACTGTTTTAAGACTTTTCACAGTTCTGGTTTTAGTAAGCTAGTGTAGTTCCTTTAATAATAGCTTATTTAAAGGAAAGCTGCTATCTTAAAAAAACAAAACAAAACCACCAAAAAACCCCCCAAACCACCAAACCAAAAACAAACAGTGGTATGGTTTCTGTTGGTCAGTGTTTCAGCCATGTCTGACAAAAGTGAACTGAAGGCGGAGTTGGAGCGCAAGAAGCAACGATTAGCTCAAATCAGAGAGGAGAAGAAAAGAAAGGAGGAAGAAAGAAAGAAAAAAGAAGTAAGAAATAATTTTCTCTTTGAAATTTGACTGTTTGCGTATGTAACTTGCCCAAAATTTAAAGGTAGGTTCACTTAGTCATTTGCTACATGCTATTCAGGGAGTGTATATTGAATGGTCGGTTGCTAATGCAAATGTAGCACTTCAGTTTTCTGATAAGAGCAAACACCTACTGTTTTCTTTAGAATTATCCATATGGTAAGTTAGATTTAAAATTTTTTTTTTAAATCCTACACTGGCATAAAGTTTGGATTTCTAAAACTACTTGTGTGCATGGGACATCGTTAATCAAACCACTGTGAAGTATTGCACAAAAGCTCTGCTTAATGAGTTGTGATGGTGTTATTTAGAGAACCCATTCCTGAAGTGCAGTTCCGAGGATGTCCATATGAATTGTCTGACTGTCAGTATTATTATTGTACAAACAATGCGCTACTTTCTTCTACTCTTTGACTCATCTTTAGCCTGAATTTTAAAATCAGAGCAACACTCAGAATGTATATGCTACGAGTGTTAGAGACTTGGTTTGTTAAGTCTTCTGGATTTCTCTCTGCTAAAGTATGTGACAATCAGTGATTTATTACTATGTTTCTCCTGAACGTAGATTATACTTCATAATTTAAACTTTTGCTGGTGTTTTGGGGTCTTTTTCAAGACTTCTCTGTGTTTTGGTTATGGTCTTGTAGGTGTTCTAAATTAGCTTATGACTGAAGACTGGGCAGCTGCCAGCTACATGATTCGGACAAAAAGGAGAGGGAAATATCTCAAATTACATTCTGATGACCTTGTAACAATGTATTGCCTGTATCCGAGATTCCATGTGTGATGCAATAGCTTATCAGTGAGAACTTGCTCTAAAATTTGGGTATTGCTTTTTTAAAAGGAATTGGGTGGTAGATTAGAAGCATAATGTGCAGTCATGTGAGGAGCAGTTAGTCTTTAATCATGGCATAGAGATAGAATAGCTTGGTCTAGATTTTGCTGCTTCTATTAAAGACTTACATTTGTATCATGAATTTATATTTACAAAAATAATTAACTTGCCAATGGCTGAGTTGTGAACACCTTCAGCTATGAATTGTATTTCTGTAATTGAATGAGCAGTTAAATGGGTGTGGAAAGATATGGAGTGTTCAGCATCTTTCACAGTAGAGTTTGCGTTATCTCTAAATTATGAGGATGGGGGTGTAATTTTTATTCTTTTTTTTTTTTTTGCATGAAATCTAGCAGATAATAACACAATTTAAAGAAAACTATTGCCCTGTAAACTTCAAGTTACTGCAAAGTTTTTTAAGACTTTCTATTTTCTTGTGAAGCCTGAGGTTCAAAAGAAAGCTTTCTCACTAAACAGCTTTTTGATGTTTTTGTTTTAAAAAATAGTTTAAAATGCACAAATGGGAATCATCACTTTTACATCTTATAAGCATTTTCTCAATTGCTACACACTTTAGCATGTGATCTATCTAGCCAAGTTCCCTAATACTTTCTTGACCAAAGAGGGGTGTCTCTTACTGTCATTCTAACCCTATCGTGTTTTCTTTGACACAGTTATTGTCATTTCAAAATCAGAACAATATGACTGTGTCTTTAAAATACTTTTATACACAGGTATGTAATACTTCTTTTTTTTCCCTCCAGTCTTTGCATTTTACAGTGCTTAGCATTAATGTAAAAAACGGTATTCTTGATCTTATCAAGTGTCAGTCATTTTGACAAATGAGGAGACACTTTTTGCATGTTATATATGTCTTTTAAAGGCAGTATCAAAGCTACAAAATTTTGATTCCTGTCTGCTGTTTATTATCTACAGAAAGGACCATCAAAATTACTAGAGTCAAATATCTAACCTGTATGATGATAGGTTTCAGTAGCATAAAAAAACCTATGAGATCTCAAAGAAATAAATGGAACAGTTTTTGATACCTGTTAAATGCTATAACTTAATTATTGAATTATTTTTAGACTGATCAGAAGAAAGAAGTTCTTCCTGTACAAGAAGAATCTGATCTTGAAAAGAAGAGAAGAGAAGCTGAAGCATTACTTCAGAGCATGGGGTTGACACCTGAGTCTCCTGTCGGTAGGAATGTTAAAATTAGTCTGAGATAAATGTTTGGGGGTTTTTTGTTTGGGGGTTTTTTGGGGGTCTGGTTTTGGTTTTTCTTGGTTTTTTGGTGGTGGTGGTCTTTTTGTTTGTTTTTTTTTGTTAGGATTGTGGTATTTATATAACTAGCATGAAAATTCTCTGGCCACTACTTTTTGAGGTATACATGTCTGGGTTTTGTACTATTTTGTCCTGCATGATCTCTGTTATAAACGTCAAGTGATGTGCTTCAGTACACATTACTAGTACTATTTTGTAAAATATATGTTTTACACTTAGTGGATTATTTGGAGTATTTTAGGTAAAATATATAAATATCATGTATTTGTTGTTCTTTTTTTTCCCCTATTTTCCCTGCATTATTCTTCTGTATTTTTTTCCTTTCTTTTTTTCTTAATGCCAAATTTTAATTCTAATATTTTAGTGCAGAGTTGGGTTGTTTCCTTTCTGCATCTTTTACACCCTAATTTTCCTTATTTCAAACACCCGACTGACTTTGATAGAGTAATAGCAAGGCTAAGTATAAAATTTAACTATCAAGGATGATGATTCATATCTGTGCCACTCTTGGATGGCTTAGCATATTGGTTGTTGTTTTTTGCCTTTACATAGCCACATATCTCTGGAAGATGAAAGCAAAGAGTGTGATAATTCAATTCCCCTTTTTTGTCTCTAGCTCTGAAATCTAAGGGATTTAAAACTTATTTTTCAGTTTGGCTCAATGGTGAGGGTCTGTTTCAACTGGGTTTGCAAATAAAAAATAATAATAATTTGGTATGGATATAGTATATCCGTGACTATATCTTCATAATTGCTTTTGCGTAGTCCTCAAGTGTTCAAAAGTGAATGTGGAATAACCACCACTATAGCTGGTCCCATTCCAACAGCCACAGCAGTCGTTTTTAGTAGTTAGAACTGTTCTAACAGTTTAGAGACTGCATTTGGGCTATGTTAGCACTAGTGCACAGCATTTTAAGTCATCAGGTCTTACCTACTAGAGATTTTTTTTTTGGCAGACTAATAGTTGAACACTTTATTGTGTGAGGTTTTGCTAAGGCAGCTGATTAAGACTTTTGCAGAAATGCATATGGTTGTTGTTGGTTTTTTAAATCTGTGAGAGAGAATCTGAAAACCACAGGATAGTCAGTCCTCAAAGTAAGTCATTGCATAGACTTAGAGTAGCTGTTCGTGAAAAGCTCTTTGAGGTGGTGGTGTGTAAGACCCGGGCACACCGCTGCAAGTGTTGTGTTTAATTCCATTGAGCATCTACTTAATCACACCCTTTAAATACACAGATTCTCAGAGAATTCATCCTGTTCGCTTTCAAAACACCCAGATCTGATCTGGATCCTAAATCAAGCTTAAATGTCCTACTCGCTACCTCTCAGTAGCATGCCTGAGGCACAGGCTCGGGTCTGCTGGCTGGATACTAGCGAAGTATGATAGCACAGTGATCGTACGCCTGAACTGAAGCTAACTCAGAGCTGACCAGCTTGGGCAGATAGCTTGAGCTCGCATTGTCCGTGTAGGTGGATAGCTTGAGATTAGATTCCTTCACAGAAAATTATATTAAAAATTCCTCAGGCAATTCCTGTCCTGTTAACTGCCAGAGAGAGGTAGCTCTCTTACAGGAGAAGGGATCTTAACAATCTAAGTATGCTTTTGATATCTGTCATACCCATTATATAAGAAGCCATAAGCTAGTGAACCAAAATAACTTTCAAGAAGGTATTATAGTTTCATCCTCTGTTGGGGTAGATGGAATTTTACTTGGTCTTTTTGTAAGACCGTTGGCCTTTGAATAGGTTTCACCTCACTAATGGACTTTCTTGAAAACAGTGTGTCCCACAAGAGGGCACTGTAGCATCAAAACTAAGCTACTGAATTCTTTTGGCCGTGCTTACTGCTAGGTAGCGCAGACTGACTTTGTAAATGGTAAAAAGGTATGTTTCTAATGTCACCTCTTCAATTAAGAAAGGGTGACATTAAAATGTCATCGTTTCTGGTAAAACTCAAAAATAGTGTAGGAATATAAAGGCCTATGGGCATTTCCTTTAGTATAAATTGTTCAGTAGATGGTGATGATGAGTTGAATATATATATATATACACTCTTAGATATACACATATACACCTATATTTATATAGATATACGTATAAAGTGTAAGTGTGTGTATGTATTAATTTTTTAAGTATAACTCTAGACCTGTATAAAAGTCTCTCCTGTAGGAGAAATGAATTTTTAATAAATTGAAGTATTCACTGTGATTTTGTAAATTTAGGGTAGAATTTTTGTCAACCAGAGTCATGTCTCTCTTTTGGGATGGGGTGGAAACATTCTTCAGAATTCACAATATACTTGTAATTTCAGGAAATTCTCTAGAAATGTTGCAGATTTAAATTCAGAATTCTCCCTTGCCTGATCCCTGACAGAGTGGATACCAATTTATACATGTAACTTGTATTCAGTTGGTTAAAGGTTCTTTTTAAGCATCGTTAAGGAGTGAATGTGTCCTATGAGTGTTTTACATATTGCTGAAAGATGAAGCATATAAGGACCTTCAACACACACCCTGATTCTTAAGCATAAACCTGTTTCATTAAATAATGAGTTTTACTATTTCTAAAAAAAAAAGGTGAAAGAAATATCAATATAGCTTTGTGTTTGTATCAGGTTGCATATGATTCACTATTATGTATCAGTTCCAAAAAACATGTTGCTTTTTAAACAGTAATTGCAATCTTCATCTGCATGCTGAAAATGAACTGACTTTTAAGAAAAAGTTTCAATATAACAGTACTAGACTGTTTGTCAACAAAAAAGAAAGAAAACATGAAGATCCCTCAAACCCCAACACTAGAAACTTTGTTGTAATACACAGTATTTATGTTGATTTTATTCAAACTAGAACAAAAATAACAGTATGCTGTATGACAAAGCCACTTTTTTTGGTTCACGCTTCAGTGATTATATATTTTGAAACAAAATTCCCAGTTAAATAGATTCAATGTCTAATTTTTAAGAAAAACTGATGTCAAAGCTGTATTAGCAACTATCTTCCTTTTATGTTTAAGCAACGTGATTTAGTGGAAATTACCCTTTGAAAATTGATGCCATCATTTGTCAGAAGTTCCGTTTAAAAATATTTTTTCAATTCATTTTCTCTTAAATGTCTTTCCCTCCATGTCTTTTTGTATGCATCAGATGCATAAATGCCAAACAATTGCATGAAAGTCCAGCATGAGTTGTTAACATTGTCTTTTCCCCTCTTTTTCTACTGTTCATTTTCATCCATGTATTTTTTGTTTGCCATCACTTTTTTTAAAATACTTCATGTTAAATTAATTTGAAAACATCCTAAGCTGTGCAACCTCTGCGGGTAGTAACAGCGGATACCTGTCTGTTTCACTATTTAGTCCCTCCTCCTACATCTCCGTCTTCCAAATCTGTGAGTACGCCAAGTGAGGCTGGAAGCCAGGACTCTGGTGATGGCGCTGTTGGATCTAGGTATGTCACTTTCCTTGTCATATTCCTCTGCTTAATACTCGTATTCTGAATAATTAAGCTTTAGAAGAAATCAGGGTTAATTACTTGATTATAATATAATAATATGAGGTTACAGTGTTACTGAATCTGTGAACAGTGACTGTTTTACAGAAGTACTTTAAAATTTGAAATGCAACTACACTTACTAATTTGAAATTTGCGACATTAACATGGAGTTGTTTAAACTTGCAAGCTTAAAGTAAAATGAGTCTGAATGTCTTGTGGTAATGTTGTTGTAAGTATGAATGTCAGGACAATAGAAAACTGGAAAAGTCCAACTTCTGGGCTCTTCCCAGCTTTTCCTAAAGGAGGGTGTGTATGGATGATAGACTATTTCCTTTTTCCCTCTATTCTAGTTGGTCTAATAAAAGATACTGTCTACAAACTTTGCCTTGCTTCTGGTTTTAATTTTTTTTCCTTACTCAGGACAGTATTTCTTGTTATTTCACCTTGCAGTCATCCCTGTAATACAACTATACCACTCACAATCTCTCTCATTTGGCCAAAACATAGCCAAAACCTTGTTAGTATGACCACAGGTTTTTTTCAGTTCCAGTACTTGCTACATCTATTTGACCATTTTTTTGTGCATGACAGTTTGAGAAATGCTGCTCTAAAGAGAGTCAAAGAAATATTTCTGTTAAACTAAGAATTCAAAGTGGCGTTATATGGGTGATAAGATGGGAAATACTACTTCCAAAGGGTATTTCTACTGTTCCCCATGCACAGTCTGCAAATAAGAGCAGTATTTGCCTACTAATATTGATAACTTCTGTTTCCTCAGCACATTAAGTTCACGTACTTAAAATTTCCTGAGTATGCATTGTGTATGAAGTTTAGTTAAAGCACAGTTACTAAAGCAGTTATCATCACTTCTTTTGTGCTCATATGAGTATTTGTTTTGGAGAAAGAATGAATACTTACACCGCTTTGAAACATCTTTTTAAAAGACTGCAGTAACATCTTGTATGCATGTGGATTATGCACACATAACTGTATACAATCTTAATCTGAAAATTTTCAAGATTATAATGACTTGAACAAAAGTTACAAGGTGTCTATTTCTAAGTAGCAACCATTAAGTTAAAACACAGAATACATCAGGCCGCAGATATGAACCCAAACTGTCTTTTTTTTTTTTTTTTTTTTAACAGAGCCCAGGTGTGATCCTGTCATGTTAATAAAGAACCAATATAATTGTTCCTTAACTGAGTAACAAGCAAATTTTAACTTATTTGAAATCTGTGATAGCTTATTCAGTTGTCATTTTATATTTAAATTGACTGTCTAAAAGAAAAAACAAGAATTATTTGATGACTTTTTTTTTTAAAAAAACAAGAATTTCTTTCCATTCATACATAATTTAAATTAAATATGAAACATATGTATAGGCCACATATCTGTAATTGAACGCTGTATTGTTTACTGAATTTATCCCCACCTCATAGGTGTACTGTGCTTTCTGATGGTATGTTCCTCGGAAGTGGTAACATAATGTTGTATGCATACGTTTTCTTACGAAGCCTTGAGAAAACTCGTATCCTAAGCCTCTAAAGCTTCATGCGTTGGCAAACTTTTAAACTAAATCTGTCTCTTGACAATTTCCCAGACATGTAAGCATAAAAAGATTGTGGTCTTGAAGGCAAGGAGGTATGAATGTATAGCTAAACTGAAGGCTATATAGAATCACTGTTAGAGTCCCCTTGCTTATTCTTGGACCACCGGATAACATTCTTCCCCTTCCACAGTAAACAGATGTCTATATCCTAGTCTATTAGTAGAAGTTTGTACAGTATTCCTAATGTACACATACACTTGAACCTGAGAGTTAATGGGAAAAGTCGGACTGTGTGATATCCCTTAGCGTTATACCTGGCATTTCACAGGTGACTCTCATATCAATATGAGATATGTTAGCCCAAGCTGTTCTACTATGCTTGATAATCTTAAAACAAACCCTTTCATATTAGTGTATTATTTCAGTTCTTTTTTTTTTATCTGTGGCCATTTGTTCTCTGGTCACGTTGCAACTATACTTTACAAAGGTGATCTCCTTTGTTAGTTTAGTCTTTTCTCCTCTATGATGCTGAATCTTGCCAGTAACTTTACTTATTTAGTAATTAGTAGAGCAGTGTTCAGACTGTGTTCCTGCTGTTACTTCCATCTGTCTTGCTTTATTTTCATCAGTAAAGAATTTTCGTTCCCAGCTTGATAGTGTTCTTTCTCTTTTTCCTGAGTTAAGAGTATAAATTCAAGGCTGGAAATTAATACAGTTGGTTTACTTTTAGGTTAGGTGGATGCTTCATAGAATTAGTTTAAGTGCAGAAAGTACTTTTTAGGAAGCGTTAGGAATATTCCTGGATACAGAGAAGTTCGGGCATGTGTGGAAGAATAGGAACTTCTGTTCACTGAAGCTTGTGGATAAATTCATTTAACTTAAGGCATAACAAACGTCTGGAAAGCAAAAGGAACAGTATTTTACATCATTTTGGTACACATATAATAAGTGAATTTTTTCTCAGAATGTTACCTTTATTTTAAAATAATATCTCTGAGAAAGATTTAACTGTATATCCTGTACTGCTTGTTGACTTAACCGTTTTAAATGGCAGACTATTCCTGGTACCACTGAAGCAACTGTTGAAAGTTAAAAGAATGCTTTGAAAGCAGGAAAGCAACCTCAGTAAGGGCTAGGTCTTAAGCAGGCACAAAATTTGGAGCCTTTTAAATTTGTAGCCCTTTCTTCAAGTTCGTCTCAAGTGGGATTGAAAAAGTTGATAAAATGTTTGACAAGTATTGAGCAATGCAGCATTTGGATCTGTAGATAAGTCATCCTTTGCAGAAGCAACATGAAGGGTGGGGTGGTGGTGGTTTGTTTTTGCGCCTTTTTTTTATTTTTTTTTTTTTTAAATGCACAATTGAACAACACATGAGCAATATCGAGCTTGAAGTCTCAGGCACCAAATTAAACTCCAAGCATAAACCTAAAGAATAAGTATACTCAAAATAATTAGCTTTATGGTAAAATGGTGTATTTTCTGATGCACAAAAGATATGGAAAGGTTTTAGAGATTAAGATATTACTGTGGATGCAATAGCATTTATGTAGAATGATTTGCTAAATATGAAGACAGTGGATTTGTAATTCTTAATTAAACTATAATTAATTATTCTGTACAAGAACAAGGTAGTGCATGACACACCCATATTTATGAGTTTTTGAGATCAACTTTACCTTTAGGAATTCTGCATCTGGTTTGTAAGAACATTACCATCTATGGGATGGAAATGGAAAATTACCTTTTATTGACTTAGCATAGTAAAATATTACATGTTCTTTATTTTTTTCATTTGTTATAAAACATGATTTAAAAAAAAAATAATAGCATCTAAGAACTTCAAAAAAACCATGCATGTTCGTCTGTTAATGTCTCTCTTATAAGCTTATTTTAAAATTCTGCCTAAGCCTGATAGCAGGCAGTAGACTAAATGAAAATTTGTGGAGAAGGGATGAAGGCTAAAAATGAAGGAAGAGGGAAGATTTTTTTCCCTCTTCATATTTCTTCTGATACAAAAGTGACTTGAAATGGGTCTATTCTGTTCATTATTCCACATGACTTTGAAATGTGTTATTAATATAAATCCCACTGTTTCTAAGAGATTTAAGTATCTTAAACGGAGTTGGCTCTAAATCAGATGACACTTATAAGCCCAAGGCAGTGCTTAACCCATAATTACTGCAATGTCACATCTTGGAAACTCTAGCAGTTCTCTATCCCAGTGGAAATGCATTTTTGCCCCTCTACCAAAAGGCTTATGTGTTGACTCATTTCCTTTACCAATATGACAGTTTCCTCCACATATTTACCGCTCTGGGCAAGATTGCATTACATTAACAAATCTGTCTTCATATGACATGAACAAATCTGAACAGATTTAAAAAGGAATTTGAAGTTTTTAATGGTTGTCAGCATTTAAAATATTTTTATTTGCCTCTCATAAAGGCTGCGTTTGTTTGCAGATCTTTAACTTTCAATCTTTAAAATAATTTAATTCTTTTCTAATAGCTCTGAATTCTGTGTTTGCTTTTTAACTTTTGTATTTACTGCATGTATTATTGCACTGAATGGTTGCGGAATTTCCCATAACTGATGTTACATTGCTTTGTTTCTTGTGAACAATGAAATAACTATAAGCTTACTGTAACTCTAGCATTTCATAGTGTGTATTTGCTTCACTAATCTCTGGCCTTTTTTGCTAATGCTGCATGATTGTTCAACCTGGGGTATCAGGACGCTGCATTGGGATACTGATCCGTCAGTTCTTCAGCTCCACTCTGATTCCGATCTGGGGTATTGCATAGATTTCTTATATTCCCTCTTTCATGTACTTACAGATAATAAGTATAAGAGTTTATTTTTTCTTTAAGACTTCAAGTTGATGTTAAGAGTCTGTTCTGTGAGTGACAGAAATTCACTATCCCTAGACTTAGTGCAGTTTGCTTGCAATGGGAAATTTTTATATTATTCAATATACATAAGGTGCTTATTTCTAATAACAAAACTTACTTATTCATGTTTTTCTTTGAGTCTTTGGCAAAATGTAAACTTTAAAAAGTAATTTCTTTAAAATAAAACGCTTAGAATAACTGTATTTTAAAAAAAAGTGACTCCTATCTTTTCTTATAAATATGTTTATAAAAGCTGTAGCTCATTGTAAGCACTTACTAAAAACCGTATCGTGCTGTAAGAATTATGATTCTGCCCACCAAAAGCTGTCAAAAGGGATTACTCTTTTTCTTTCACTTTTATCTTAGGAGAAGGGTGGATAATAAGAAACTAAATTTGATGTAGGTAAATTGTTGGATCATTGCAGTATTCCTACAATATATACTGAAACTAGCTTTTATAGGAAGTTACAGTGACTGAATTAATGTTATGTGGTTTTTGGAAGTACACTAGGCATTGTAGTTTAATACTAGCTATATCTGCTTTTATAGGATCTTCCATAAGTTAAAGTCAGAAGCTCGGAGGTTTTCAGATTGTATTCTGGAGTAATGTATTATGGATAAATTACTTGTCAGTGTGTGAGTTTCAGAATTAGACCTGCAGTTCTGCATTCTAAATAGTACCTTAGAGGTAGACAAAAAGGGGCAGCAAAGTTAAAAGGACTAGGAAATGCGTTTTCCCTCAGAATAACTAAGCTGGTTTTTAAGCTTTAAAATCCTAGAACCGTTGCTGTACAAACATGACTCATGTCAGCAGATCTGTTCCACTGAAAATAGAGATACATCATATATGTAGCAGTACCCTAGTCAACCACAAAGAGCAAAACCTTAAAATTATATCCTACAATCCAGATATTTATATATATATTTGCATACCTTTCTTTTTGTTGCAGATGTATAAATAGCTGCTGATTTTAAATAATAATGATAATGAAATATTAGTCATAATCATGTGACTTCCTCAGAGTTAAGTTTCCACTGGATTTAAGTTTGACTAAAGCAGTGCTGTGACATGATGGTTTGGGTATTATTCTAGGCAAAATGTGAAGTAATTCATAAAGTTAAATAATTTTTCTGATTTCTCTATTAATTTTATTTAGACGTGGACCTGTTAAACTTGGAATGGCCAAAATTACACAAGTTGACTTTCCTCCTCGAGAAATTGTTACATATACAAAGGAGACGCAAACACCTGTTATGACTCAGCCAAAGGAAGGTGAATGGTTAACTTATTACTACCTAAGTTATTTTTCTTTTCTTTTGTTATAATAATGATGACTGACTGAACTAGAACCAACACTTGTGATCTTGAAACTTAATAAGGTAGAATGAAGGTTGATATGTGAGATAATTGGTATAAATTCAATTATTATGTTCATACAGGTCTTGCTTAAGAGCGTTACTGTCATTCTGCGTCTTGTTTAACATTACTTTTATTACTAATACATGGTATTTTCTCCTCCTAGTAAACGTTCAGATTAGGCACCGAGTTGCTTAATTAGCTGACAACTGGTAAATGAAAGTGGGATATATCTTGTATTTATGACATCTAAGAATCCACACACAACTTACTTGAAGGCTGAGTATCCTTACAACAAACTTAGCAATTAAACCCCGCCATTTACATTTTTATACCTGGAGCTTATACACTGAGTTTTAAAAGAAGGAACTAATTTCTTTATTAACCCATGCAGTTCTCAGCAATTGAACGCTTTCCTTCAGTCATGACTTGTTTGCTTTTCAGAAAAGAAATTTTTCCAAAGAAAACATAGCTGGCTAATAAATTTGCTTTTCAATGTTGAAACACTTGAATTTAGCTGCAAATGAAATACTAATCTTGACCTAGTTTGTATGTAGTTCTACAACAAAATCTCGTAGTTGTTTACTATGAATGACTTTGAGTATATGTCTTTGCTAGCAGTTTTAGGACCTAATTCTACGTTCATAATTTTGCATTTTCCTGCTCTTTGGTATGTGCACTTTTGGGTGTTTATGCAAGGAGAAAAAAGCACTTTTTAAAACATGAAGAAAATACTCAACTGAAATCTTACACTGGTGTTTCCAGAAACTGTATAATTTACCTGAAAATGTAATACAGATGATACGGAGTGTAAAGTGTAATGCAAGTGATGCAGAATTGTTGTGGCTCCAGTCTACATCAATATGCCGCTCTTGTCTGGAGTATGTCTTGAAGTCACTTTGGCAAATTTAACTAGATGCAAATGACACTGTCAATGAGATTAAGTGAGGAGGGGGGAAGGGGAAGGAAAAGAAAGGAAGTAAATTGCAACAATACTTTGTGTTGAGAAGTTTCTTCCCTTCTTATCTCGGGGTATCCAGTATAAGGGATCAGGGTGTCTTCAGAACACAAACCAGACCTTTCAAACTTCATTATTCAGTGAGCCAGAATAACAGGGGATATGCTTTTTCTCTAATGGCGTTTCTTTCCCATTCTTCATTTTATTTGTATCCCTGTGCAGATAGGCATTTTAGGTTTTCCTGCTTTCATTTCTTCCATGCCCTTACCTTTTCCTTTAATCTCTCAGGTTTTTTTCCTACCCTCTGTCGGGTTCATGGAATCTGAAGACTTAGTTCATAGTTTGTGTGCTTGAAGAGTTTTACTTCTGCTGCCAGTGGAAATTGCCTGGGATTGTATGATCCTAGTTTTACGCTCAGTGGATAGGCTGTAGTTGAGGTTTACTGTAGTGGAGCTGGAAAGATGGGTCATCGGTATTTCTGCATTTACCAAAAAGCCCTCTCAATACAGATGTTGTCTCCTGATCCATTCCACCTTAAAAATAATACTGTTTTCTTGAGGGCCATCATAATTATTTTATGTATGTGTACTTCACAAAAGTCACTTACAGATGCTTTTTCATCACTTCAGCGTCGAGGATCTTTTTAAGGTCTGTCTTAAGACTGCCTAAATACATTCATATTTAAGCTCTATGTTCACAATTTACGATAATATCTGAAATAGGGCATGGGTTTAAAAAAAAAAATCATGCTGCCTCCAAAAAGAGTCACTAGGTGAGAGATTTTAATTATGGGAAGAAAATTTTGAAATCTTTAAAACAATTGACAAAAGCAATATGCTGAATTTTCAAAGTGCAGTTAGATAAAATTAGATATTCTATCTCATTGATTCTTGTTTCTTCTCACAATCTGAAGGTTTTTTATTTATTTTATTGAGTATACTGTAAACTAAAGATAATCTTACAAAGTACACTTGAAAGTTGAGCTTGCACCTGAATTTACACATACAAGTAATCTTCAGTAGCTCCCTTGTACAGCAACAAGTTGCATCTCAGTTAGGTTAGCTCCAATGTTCACACTTTCTTAGAAGTGGACCGGACCTTTCTTAATTATCATATCTTGAGATTTTTAAAATGCTGTTGGAGCTGTGCTTTTGAACAAAGGAAAATAGAAGCAGGTTTATTAGATACGCTGTGCAGTCATTCTGCAGGTGTAGGTCTACGTGTGCTGTAGGTTGAATTGTGCTAAGACTGATTTGGGGAAAGGAAAAAAAAAAAAGAAAAAAAACACACCAAAACCCAAGAACAAACAAAAACAAAAAAACCAAAACTAAAAAACCAGTTCCACTTCTGTGTGCCACAATGGCTATGTAGTTATATTGTAACCTGAATTGGGAAACATTCAAGCTACAACTAATCTGTCTGGTGGGACAGATACAAAGTAGGGGAAGACTGGTATTAAACTAAAACAGTTCCTAATTGTCATGGAAATATTTATGGCAACACAAACAAAATGGCAGTTACATAGGGGAGATGTCATGTCCTCGACTTGAAGTTGGCCTTTGGAGATGCCCGTTTTGGATTCAGTGTAACAAACAGTTAAATTTAAATAATGAGTACCTTTCACCTGACAGTTCTGGTTTTAAAATGTGAAGGTGACTTATCTCAGAAGTTGATAGAAAAGACTGTATTCAGTAGTTGAGAAATGTAAAACAGGAAAATTCCATAGTTAGAGAAGGGAGGTAGACTAAGTTTATATGTTCATGCTTCTGTATAGTGCAGACGTGTTACACCATCCTAGACAACATTCAAACGTGAAGTAGCTCCCCCCCCACTATCTTACAGATACAAGGCTTCTCAGCTGCAACTGTTTTGAGCCAGTGACCCTTTCCATTTGTAATGAAAGAATGACCACTTTGCGTGCAGTCCTAGATGCTAGAGCTAGAATGTGAGCTCAGTGTTAGTGGCACTATAGCCTCTTTATGCTAAGACAAAAAGTATAATTGCTGGAATTATGACTTTTCCACATTTCTTCACCCTCACCTCTTTGAAGTGTTGTATCCAAAATAGTAGATGGGATTGTCTTTCTCTTATACAATGCCCAGCTCTTAATTTTGAAATGTGACAGCTTCCTTAGGAGGTGGAGGCATTTAATGTGTTAACAGTTCTCACAACATCCATTATTTTATGGCAGTACTATGTTGATTTAATATGACCTCAAAGAATTTGAGAAACTGCCTATCTTAGGGAGATTGATTCTTGTTATAATATTGTAAAACAATAAAATCAGGATCTCTCCTAGAAATCAGTTTCAGTCTGTGATTAGCGATTGAGTCATCTTTAGAGCGCTAAGTATTTTGCCACAGGAAGTCACTAACTGTGTTCTGAACAGTATAGAATATTAAATTTCCCCATTAATTGAAGTTAATAAACACGTTTCACAGTTCTTACAGGAAGATGCCCACATCCAAAGTAGACTTAGAAGGTAAATCTGCAATACTTGTTTTATGGGCTTTCCCTATGATGGGTGTAACCCACAGCTGCTCTTTCCTCAAGGTCCCGTGTATACAAGTAAGTGACTAAGGATATAGAAGAAGAGAAGTAAGAAATGCTGTCAGGCATGGCGATCTTGGTGCTCTCAAACTTCTTGCTTTGAAAATACTGACACGTGTCTGTCTTCAGTACTACTATTTTTTTTTTCCCCACACACTTGATTTTTTTCTCCAGAATTTTCAGTAGCCTTCATCTTCTAACCCTACTGTTTCTGTAGCAGCTGTATTTATTATGTAAAAGAAATGAAATGAAATCATGAAATGGTTCATTATTCTGAGGAATATAGCAGGGAAAATAGGCCCATTTTTTTTTCTTGTTCTCTTGGCACGTCCGTTTCCTGGGTTTTTGTCATTCTGTGATACAGTAATGATGGCCATCTTTTTTGTTTAGGGACCAAATAAGTTTATTTTGGTGTGATAAAAGTGTTGTGCCGTACTCAGTCTGTTCTCCCTTATTTCATAACTAATAAACCTAAGCGTCTACGTCTCTATGCCATTATTACACTTTAATAACTTTTGTCACCATCATAACATGAACATCCTGTGTTTAGACTGCTCCATTCCCCAGCATCCTTGTTCTGCCATCCCCTTTTCTACTATCTAAATCCATTTCTCACTTCCCATGATGCTGTGTATAACACTGCTGCCTGCTTCCCTCATTGTCCCATTTTGGTGGACATGTTTTTTAGTTAGTGTGGTCAACTGGTTATTAGGGCTGTTATTTAGCCTTTATTTGGCATGCTCTGTCAGGCAGCAGATTTTCAGATCTACTCTCTGAAAATATATTTGAAATTGTTTCCTTCATGCACTCATTTTTCTAGCAGGTAGCAGAAGCAGTTTCAGCAAGAGAGATGCAATTTAGATGTGAACTCTGGTATATGTCTTAATGTTCTGCAGGCTCCATGTTGCCCACCACGCAGAGTACTGTAATCATTGGTGCTAAATTTTTTTTTTCCTTATCTGTACTTCGTGCTACACTGCTCTCTACATTACTGTTTGATCTCTTCCTTTGTGATTTGCTAACATACTGTTCAAATTCTCATGGAAAGAAATTCGTCACCAGTACACGCAATAGAGATGTGTTTTGAGTCCTTGAAGTAGTTAATCCAAAGAAAGATAGGCATATAGGGGAATATGATTCTGCTCAGCTGTCACAATTAAGGCTTTTCCTGGGCTAACAGGGTACTTGTTATTTAGTGCTGCTGTACAATATTGTGCATGTGCAATCAAAACTTAACTGCAGACGGTATTATTGCATTAGCTCCACTCTTGGACGAATTATTGTCTGGTAAAGTCTTCAAGACACAGGATGAAAATATGAAGCATTTTTGTCCTTTTAATTCTGACTTAAGCTAAGTATTAATGATTCGGTGCATAGGATTGGCTTCTTGGATGGTGTTATAGTGAATGTAGTATTTTTACATTTTAATATTTTAAAAAGAAATAACAGACCCATATATATTTATGTATTATCCTGTACGTGCCTTAAATGTACAGTGAAATATAGATGGGAAAACTTGATATGAAGACATTCTGCTTAACAAAAGCCACCCATTTCACAGATGATTTAACTTTGATTAACCTACTCTGCAGCAACAGATTACTTGGACAACTGGAACTTCACTCTGTAGTGTTATTGCTAGGTGCAGCCTAATTTACAGCATTGCTTTTCTTTCTGTCTTGCCAAAATACGTTACAATTTTGATGTTAATTCAAAGTAAAAAATTAAACATTCATTAAACCTGTTTTTAGCATTCATTGACAAGAAATTTGTCGCTATTAAAGCAGCTGCTATTTTTATGCAGTCTTTACTGCTCAGTTTGTAACCTTAGATCCCCTGTTTGCCTGTCAGAAATAACATGGAGTTAATCTCTTAGCATATTATAATGAATATTGATCAATATGTTGATGTGACATACAGTCCCATTTCCTTTCTTCATGGCCCTATGACTTTTCTAAGTCTTAGCGGCCTTTTTTTAAATGTGAAATTGTATTTGGTATACTGACAATTGAAGTGGCATAGAATGCCAGTAGGTACAGACAATAATGAATAAAGAGGATGAAGTTAGTGCCTTTAAGGTTTCCAAATTTATGTAGCTGACTTGAAATAACTGCAGTACACCACTGTATCGTGGGTTCTTGATTTACTAGATGTGGAACTTTTTCAAAAATGGTATATTGAATCTTTTCAGTGTTTGCTGGGTAATATATTATTGTTATGCCAATTCCTTGCAAATATCAGCACCTGGCCTGTTATTAAATAAATTTAAGATAAAGGAGAGACAGGAGTAAATAATTAAAACAAAAACTTCTTACCTTTTTTGTTGTCCAACAGCTTCATGCTGCCTTTTTTGATTGTAAACTTCTGTGAGAAAGCATCCTAGTTTCGGATAAGGAGGTCAAGAACTTGTATATGTGTGGGTTTTTTGTTTTCTGTTTTTTTTTTTTTTTTCTCCAGATCCTTTAATGGGAAAGTTTGCATGTGACTTTTCTTTCTTTAGAGAGAAGGTTTTAGATTTATGTAGTTACAGATAAATCACAGTGAGATGACATGTTCAATTTCAAGTTTGATACTTTGAGAATATTAAAATAAGTGCTGTATCCTGCATTTAAATGCAGTAATATCAGCTGGCTGTATGCAGTGAAAGTACTATGAAGGAATTTAGATCTCTGTATAATATATGCCATTTATGTTTCAAACATTAAAAGGCAGGAGCAATCAACTATATGATCTTTTGAATAAAATATGTAGATTAGAAGGTCACTTAGCACTAAGGGGTTGACCATCTGCATTTGACAAGAATTTGACTCCTGTCACTGAAAATGGTACTTAGAATCAGTGTAGTATGACTAATGGGGGGTTGGGCTGAAATTTCTAATTTGGGACTTTCAAAGCTAGAATAATGTATCCAGGGTGACCCAAAACCACATTTCTGAATTTGAAGGCATCATTTAAATCTGCAAGATTGATTGGCAGGGCAAACAAGACGGGGATTTTTATCCAGGTGGCTGTAATGTGAATATGTGGTCCTGTATTTGTTGTTCTCAAAATCATGTGTGTTAACTCATATTACATTTTTTAATTAGTCAGTGTTCACACCTCTGGTGATTTGACATTAAGAATTCCATTCTTTAGAATTGCTACAAGTCATACAGTTTTCAGATTACTAGTCCGCTGTACATGCGAATCCATCTAAAAAGGAGCAGTGTCTTTCTGTTTCTCCGCGTGATTATTTTGCCCAAAAAAGCTTTCATTTTTTTTAAGTAGCACAAAAGCTGTAATTGGCATGCTTTGTAAGGAAGTGTCAATGTGCAAGAGAGTGGAGATCACTAAGAATTCTTTTACGCGTTCTTTCCCCTTTGCACCACCGCCTCCTCAGCAGGGTCACTGAGATCACTAGCTTTTCTTGAAATGGCCATTTTCACTGGCAGGTGCATTATACCCTGTATTTTCAGATTGTTTTTCCATTCTGAATGTTTGGCAGGTTGATTGCTCTGGCTGCATTGACGGAGAAAGGGCTGACAAATGCGGTTGGGCTGGCTGAAAAGACAGTGATTACTGTTTTCCTTTGTGGCTGATTGAGGCCCTTGAAAGGAAAGATTTTAACCTTCACCATTTGGTTCAAAAGTATGAGCATATATTGAAATCATTCATGCCATTTATCCTAGTTCTGTAAACTTGTCAGAACGTAAAAATCGCTCAATTTCAAGTAATGTAGGATTGGCATACGTCATTATCATTTTGATTAAGTTGGAGTTTGTATTATTGTGTGCATTATACAGTGTCATTTAAAGCTTTCTTTCCTGCAGGTACAGTTATATTTTTATTGCTTATACTATGGAGTTAGAAAGATTTTCAGACCTCTTTAAACCTATCACTATGTGTGTGGTTTGGCAGCTGGTATGGCCTACAAGCTGTATTTTGTTTGCAGGGTAAAGGCTTGTCTGTAGACCTCCTGGAGTGCTGGTAATTGCACAGGCTTGCCATTGGGGAAAGACATGATTGGAAGCAGTCAGGCAGAAAAATGTTGTGCCATCCCATTGCCATCTCTCATAGCAGAGAGACAATCCTAGCAGTACCATCTGGTTGTTGCTATCTAGTCAGCTGGCCTGGCTGCTGGGACCATGGCTTGGCAGCTGGTTCCCATCCCTTGACCACGCTTTTTTTTTGTGTGTGCGTGCATGTGGATTTTTTTTCCCCCCCGCTTTTTTTGTTGTTAGATAACTTTGAACATGGGTCAGGGAGATGGCTGCAATAAACAAGCATAGTCCCTGTTCAATACTGTCTCATTACTTGTGATGAGGCATGCAGCAGACTCCTCCTGCCATTCCCTTATAGACAGATGACATAGCTGTTTAACCAATAAAAATAGTCTTTTCAGAAGCTTATTCTAGAAAGTGGATGAAGAAAAGCCAGGAAATGCATATTCCACAACACTAAGTAATTTAAAGTTATTTTCTGGTTTACAGTATTCAAAGAATAAAATGCAGAAATGCAAAAAGTGCTGTAAACCTTGTCAGTATTCCTGAGCATTAACATTTTATGTTATTCATTGCAATTAGGAAAAACACATTTTGCTGTAAAGTTCTCATTGCCAAACAAGATACAGATAATGAGACTTGCATTTAGAATGACAGAAAAAATGTAATCTCCCTGCTATTATCTTTAGCAAAATTTGCCTCTCAGAATAGCAACCTGAAAGCTAATGTAAGCCATCTTCATGCCATGTGAAGACCCATTAGACTCTGATGATTTCAGATCACAAGTAAGCAGCTGCTCTGTAGACTATTTTAGACATTTGATTTTTCTTTATTCTGCAGCATTAATGTGTCAGTATGTTACACAGAACATGCATCTACCACATGGTTTTGTGTGGAGTCATAAATGCTTGTAAGAGAGATTTCTACTTTGGATTCTTTACAATTTCTTATGTGTCTTATTTCAGTTTATACAACTACATAATTTAGTGCAACTAAAATCCAGGTGTAGACAGTGTTCCAGTGATCTTTTGGTTTGAGATAATGTTATCCTGGGGACTACATTTTAGAAATATAACCACTTTAAGCTAAATGATACCATTTTACATCAGCTTTTTTGAGATTCATATGGAATGTTACTGTTCCTCTTTGAAAACATTGACAGTCTCACCATAATGTTTCTCTTTAGATGAGGAAGATGAAGATGATGTGGTTGCACCAAAACCATTAGTTGAACCTGAGGAAGAAAAAACATTAAAAAAAGAGGAGGAGGAAGAAGGTACAGTTCACCTCAAGACTTTTGAGTGTGGTGTAAAGAAAGGCATCAATAAATTTTTAACTTTTTTTCTTTCCATTAAGTTGAAATTAATTTGATTTACATTTTAACAATTGGCTAGCAAAATATAAAATGTAAAAATGTATTTAAAGTCTATGGACGTTAGGAAACAAATTTTCCAACATCATGATAAATACTCTTTTTTTTCTGTCTTGGAAAGAATTGGTGAAAGTATGCAGTCCAGAGAATGTATGTATAATTCTTTTCCAGCTGCCCCTCATGAACTTACAGAAGAGGAAAAACAACAAATTTTGCATTCTGAAGAATTTTTAAGTTTCTTTGACCACTCCACAAGGATTGTCGAAAGAGCCCTTTCTGAGCAAATCAACATTTTCTTTGACTACAGTGGAAGAGACTTAGAAGACAAAGAAGGGTAACGTGAATGTTGAATACTTTATTGTGAATGTGCAATATTTGTAATTGAAAAAGTTATCTAAGATTAATATCTGCTAATTGCCTTTATAGAGAGATTCAAGCAGGAGCGAAACTATCCTTAAATAGGCAGTTTTTTGATGAACGTTGGTCAAAGCATCGTGTTGTCAGTTGTTTGGACTGGTCATCTCAGGTAAAAAATAATGCTTACAGTAAGCAGTTATCTTTGTAAATTATTCTAGTTCTATGCACTTGACACTTCTATAAGTACAATTGATACAGGCTATATTTCTGAATGTGTTCCTTACCTGCTCCATAGTTTGCAAAAAGTAAACAGAACTGTTAATCTTTTGTGAAAAGTAGCAAAATGTTTGTACTATGAAGAAAGTCTTCAGCATATTTGTTTCTGGTTTATGGACTACTTTGTAGAGATAACTGTTAGCTTCACTGGAAAAAGCTCACTTAAAAGTACTGGTTTTTACATTTAAAAGCAAGTTTATGATGAAAGACAGAACGACTCCAATGTGTACGTTAATGCTGTTTTATGAGCTATGAGTTTGAAACAATTAGTTTTAACTGACAATTTCTCATTTCTATATAATGTAAAGTGGCTTTTGTTTTTTGGTGGGTTTTGTTTTTTTTTTTTAACCCTATTTTGGCGAAAGAAAACAAAGATTCTAGGGTTGTCTGGATCACTAGCTAGTCATTCTTGCTTACTTTGAGTCTTTTCCACTTATTTTACAGTACCCAGAATTACTTGTAGCCTCTTACAACAACAATGAGGATGCACCTCATGAGCCTGATGGGGTGGCCCTTGTATGGAATATGAAGTACAAGAAAACTACCCCGGAGTATGTCTTTCACTGCCAGGTATGATTCTGTTTCAGGAGGCTAAAGATTTTATGTTGATGAACTTGGACAAGTACCTTCCTTGTGCTTGTCAACATAATGATTTCATTGGGCTGGCATTCACTTTAACCATATGTATTTGCAAACAGATGTTGATAGCTAGAGATTTCAGTTTAGAAACATTATTCTGTTTCAGAATTTCTGACATCATTCAGAATTCAGTCTTGTTTGAGAACTCATTTTCTTATTTTGATTTATTTAAAAACCAAAAAACCTTCTTGTGTTATGGTTGAACCACAAAGAAGGTTTGTGTGTAAGAGGATTGAGCGGGATTGTATACTACAAGAGCTTAGTTTACTGAATAAAATGAAGATGGCCTGAGGAGATGGAGCAAGTATGAAAACTAGAAACATATGCATCAAGAAAAAGGCAGGTGGAGGTTTTCTAGTAGCTTTCTGAAAGACAAAAACATGCAAATCTCTTCCATTATGCCAAGCCTGGGATAGCCACTTTATTTTCAAAATGTCATAATTCTGAAAAGTTATAGTTGAATCAAAATTTAATCTCATGTTGTTAGATTACTGTCAAACTCCAGATTGCAAAAGTAACTTTATTGTATCAAAGTGGATTTGTACATTCTCTAAGAAAATGACCACAGAATGTGGCAAAACATTATTAAAATCTTGTGCATTACTGGGCCTTCCCTTGGTAACAAACAGTGCTAGGAGGAATACAAATGCATATATATGAAAGAAAAGAGGAGGAAAACTTCATTTTATGAATACAAATTAGAACTAAAAGACTGCTGGGGGTTCACAAGGGTTTGTGAATCCTTAAGTAATTGGACAGTGAAATAGCGTATCAAATAAATCTGGGCAAAGAACTTACTCTGATATTTGGTCCCGTTTTCTTTAGTTTTAGACATAGTGTCATTGAATGATAGGTTTTTGTGTATTTTGTTGTTTGGTTTTTTCCCTTTCAGTCAGCAGTGATGTCAGCTACATTTGCAAAATTTCATCCCAATCTGGTGGTTGGTGGCACGTACTCAGGCCAAATAGTGCTATGGGATAATCGCAGCAATAAGAGAACCCCAGTGCAGAGAACTCCGCTTTCAGCTGCTGCTCACACGGTAGGGGGTGAAATATCTTCAAGGACTGTTCCCTGTTGAGATGTATTTAACCTCTAGGGAACTCTGTCCAGTGCACTTGGTTGATAATGCTTAAATGTTTATGTCCATATTTTGCCAATGCTATCACTGAAGAACTGGGCTGTTCATAAAAATCAAAGTGTCAGAAAAACAAATATCAGCTTTATAGGGGAGTGTTCTTTGTACCGTACTGTGATCAACCTTTTATGCTTTGTTAAATGGTGAAGCTCTATATTTTACTGTATATTAATTATACCAGAATTGGTTATTACTTGGAAATTCCTTTTTCTGATAGTATTTTACATTTCTTAGCACCCAGTGTACTGTGTAAATGTTGTTGGGACCCAGAATGCTCACAATTTGATTAGTATCTCAACTGATGGGAAAATATGCTCTTGGAGTCTGGACATGCTTTCCCAACCACAGGTAAGATAACTCTGGATATATATAGTATCTATTCCAATGAATATATAGTAAAAACTTAATGAATCTAAAAAGCATTAATAAACATTTTCTCAATACACAGAATTATACTTGAGGTAGCTTGGTAAGTATTTGATAAAATATTTCCCCGCTCATGGAATCACATATTGTCTGTTGATCCTTTTGTATATTTTTGTGGCACTTTTGTTAGTGGTGAACACAGTTTTAACACAAAATAACTTTTTTATTCCTGCCCAATTTTGTACAAGTAAAATATTAAAAAAAACCCTACTATTGAAAAATCTAAATGACTTTGTAGATGTTAATATTTCATTTTTTTTTTTTTTTTTTAAAAGTAAGTTGCTGATATTTTTACTACAGGATAGCATGGAGCTGGTTCACAAACAGTCCAAGGCTGTGGCTGTTACTTGCATGTCCTTCCCTGTTGGAGATGTCAACAACTTTGTTGTTGGCAGTGAAGAAGGCTCAGTGTACACTGCATGCCGCCATGGCAGGTAAATGCAAACTTTAATTATTCAAAGGAAATAAAAATAGTGAAAGGATGAGTCCCTGCATGCTTTACACTCCTAAAATTATTTATAGTGCGTTTACTCCTTTGTCTTGAAGGAGTTCAAGATAGCTGTATACGAATTCCAGTGCGCACTTTTCCCCGAGTCATTAAAAACAGAAGAAGTTGGAATATTGAATTGGTACTGTGCTGCCTTCAGTGACTGGGAGTTGTTTGTGTTGATGAGGGCAGCATAGGTCACTGCAGTTTTATTCATTTGAATTGTAGCAGAACATTCCAAACTTTGTATCGGTTCTATAGATAATTGTACAGTAACATCACGCACAAATCTTAAATTGGCTAGCTTTTCTCCTGCTGTTCAATCTATTTTGAAATTGTCTGACTGTATCTTATCAATTGCTTTCTTAAGTATAATTGAGTGTCCAGGTTTCATCTCAGATACCCATCACCCTTGCTGCACAGCTTTTTGGTTCCAAAATACCCCAAATTGTGTCACTTTTGTGTAACATCCTTCCCATCTCTTCCCCCCTTCTTTTTCATCGCTTCTGGTAGGAGACTATTAGGGATATATTGTTACTGTTTTATGTCTGAAAGCTGTGTCCGTGAGGTACATGCAACTCCTCTTATGTCAGTGGAAGTTTTATGCTTATTCCAGAGAACTGGATTTTGTTCTTTGTGTGAATGGAAGTTTTAGCTATTGCTTGGAGAACAGTGTAGTTAAATGTGTGGACTGGTACCTGCTGAATGAGTCTCTTCTTTCTGTGGTATATTTTGGCACTTAAGGTTAGCAGAAAATAGATGTTGAAGTTAAGGTCCATATTCAAGCCTGGTCTTCTCATGATCCTGTTGTGATGAAGCCTTTTGCAGCGGGGTAACATCCATACAAAGCAGCAAAATCTTCTTGTGGCTATATTTAAATTGCATTTCAGTGCTATTTCTGTCTGCACATGTATGGTTTCCAGATAAATTAACCTTGGTTATATATTCTAAAACAGCAAAGCTGGAATCAGTGAGATGTTTGAAGGACACCAGGGACCAATCACAGGTATCAACTGCCATGCAGCAGTTGGACCTGTAGACTTCTCCCATCTTTTTGTCACCTCTTCTTTTGACTGGACAGTAAAGCTTTGGACAACTAAGGTAACTTAAATAGATAGTTCAGTGATTTTCTTCGTGGTCCTTGACACAAGGTGGTGCTATAATGTAAGCTATTTAAGAAACTTCAGTAAACTGAAGTCAAATCGGGTGAAGCTCTCTAGGTTCCTAGCAGCAGTCCTGCAAAGAGGAGACAGCTGATGAACAAAACTATAGTTAACACAAAGCTTTGCTTTCAGATTGTACATCATTTGTATACTTCTGATCCATTCTGTTCATCCTTTTGCCCTTTGTTATCAAGAATGATTACAATGTAATCAAATGTAAATCATGTTGTAAAATCAGTTACTTTCATATTATGCATAAGGCAAATGTTTTGCTACAATTTTGTGGAGGACTAAGGGACAGCACCAAAACTGATGTCGGTTAAACTCCATGAGGCTCACAATTGAAATATCTGTCATGCCCATTGCCAGAATTACCTCCTCCTCTGTTAGTTTCATGCCCTGAGGAATGCAAAGCAGAGGAAGCAGAGTTAGAATCTCTCAGTAATAGCCTGAAGTGCTGTCACTGAATTATCTTTGGCTTGATTTGTAAGATTCTTAATGCATTAAGTTTACAATCTCTTACAATACTGGCTTGCTACTGATTTGTTTTATAGTAGCAGCCAGCTACCAGCAGCAGCCAGGCTGCATGCTTTGCAAAGCATCCCTTTAATAATAGCAGTAATTTTTGGCTGCTTTTTACAGAGGCATTTTTTAAAGTAAGTCAAAATGTGAATCACTTTTTAGTTATTGCTGATAATGCTATTGAGAAGTTCTGTATTTTGCTTTACCCGTTAGCTTTGTAATTTTGAAGTGCAGAGTTTGGGTATTGCATTCTTATGTTTGCTTTTTTCAGAATAACAAACCCGTCTACTCTTTTGAAGACAACTCAGATTATGTTTATGATGTGATGTGGTCTCCAACTCACCCTGCCTTGTTTGCCTGCGTGGATGGGATGGGCAGGCTTGACCTGTGGAATCTCAACAATGATACTGAGGTGAGGCAGTCAGTCAAATGTAGCTGGAAACGTGTTTGTACACTTCGAAAAAAATGTCAGGCGTTTACCATAACGTTTTGGTTTGGTTTTTTGTTGTTGTTTTTAAATATTCTGTAGTTCCAGTAGTTTCTGTGTAATAGATACCATTCTTTGATTACGGGGTTGTAACTCAAATGACTCCTCATAATGAATAACAGCGGTAATTAAATTGTTTTACCTGTAACAAGAGTGCAAAACATCTCAGTGTAACACTGATCCATGTTATGAAAGTGATTATAGACCTCCCCTGATACGGCCTTGGCAGCCTATAGCTTAACAGTGTGAACAAACCTGTTACCCACACACCACCGTTGTTCCTATCGCCATATTACTATTGCCATAGTAATACTGCAGTGAAGTTGTAGTTTGTTTCTAAACTTAGAGAATTGAATGTTTGGGTTTTCTGGTGTGAGTTATAAACTTTATTATAGTATAAATCTTTTACGAGACTTGAACTGGTTGGAGGTAGGTGAGAGGAAGAACCTGACAGGTATTCAGTACTTAAATTTCACCTTCTTAGAACTGCATATAGAAGAAAGAGCAGTTCTGTAGGAGCATATGCCAGCCTATGGCTTCAAATCGGAATTACCCCATTCTAGTCTTCGGACAGGATTTGACCTGCCAAAGCAGCTGATTTCATCCCTGCCCTCTGTCATAATCTTTCTTGAGATCCCAGGGCTCCTCTTTGCTGCCTGACTGAATGCATGTCTGCGCCTCCTGTCTCATGACAAGAGTGCAGATGCGCTTTTTGATAGAGGATGTTTGTACTTTGGCCAAGGGACAGAAGATGTGTTGTTTTGGTCATGTCACTGGTGATAGCTTTAAGGCCACTGAGAGTCTTTGAGATCCACATACTCTGGCCTCAGTTGAAACGCTGGGCACTTCTTTTGATACAAGATTGAGGGACTAGGTGTGTTCTGTAATCTATAGCTTATGGAATCCTCGTGCATTTTTAGCAATGTGTTTTAAATGGATACAGGTGCCAACTGCAAGCATTACTGTGGAGGGCAATCCTGCTCTGAACCGTGTGAGATGGACGCATTCCGGGAGAGAGATAGCTGTAGGTGATTCAGAGGGACAAATAGTTATATATGATGTGGGAGAGGTATGTATACCATGTACTGTGCAAAGTACATTACAAAACGCTCAAGTTTCTTTGACTTTTACTCTTATTTATCAACTTGCTTTTAATTTTTTTTCCCCTGTGGTTAGAGGAATAAGGTTTAATTTTTATTTTCAAATTAATGTTTCCTTTTTGTGTCTATTTCAGGTATTTTAGCATAACTTTTTAGCATGCTATCTGGCAGCCAATCAAAAAGTAAAAACATTATTGTAAGGCTGGTGAAATAAGATGAAAGAATCAATGGTTTTGTTTGTAGAGATTTTATCTTCTTTGTAACTGTGGCACATGTGAATTCTGATCATAGCTTGAGAAGTGCCGAACAAAAAATTTTGCAGTGAAGCAGGTCTTGACTTCGTTCCTACAGGGAAGCTGTTGCTATTGCGAGTATGTGTACTGCAGTAGTATGTAACTAATTGATTGGATGAGGACATGGCATTAGTATTCCCCTTTGGAGGCAGTCTCTCAGATGGAGACGTATCATGCAAGCTTGTAATGTACCATTACATACTTAGAGGATTTTCAAATTCTGCTTCTTTTGTTAGTTAGAGCTTTTGATGTTCAGATTATTTTAAAAGTTACACTAAATAAAAGTAAGGTTTTCTATCAGAACCTCTTCTGAACATTACTTTAAGCACTCTCCTGTTCAAAATGAGCTCAATTTTTATTTATCAGTAGGCTTAAATAACGTTCTCTTTGTCAACAGCAAATTGCCGTTCCTCGCAGTGATGAGTGGACTCGATTTGGTCGAACACTGGCAGAAATAAACGCTAACAGAGCTGACGCAGAAGAGGAAGCTGCAACCCGCATACCAGCGTAGATCTTTAAAAATAGGCAGCAGTGGTAGACTTGTGAATGATTTGATGCAAATCTTAAAAGTGTAAGCATGTGTCAGTTCAATTAATAGCTTAAGGGAGGAATATATGGATTCAATATAAAAATATGGACTCTGAAAATCAGATCTTGCATTGTCAGTTTTTATATATCAATTACAAGCACGTTCTTGGATTTGTGTAACTTTTAATACAGTTAACTTTGACTTTGCAAGGAACTTCTTTTGCTGGAACACTAACCTGGTGTAAATTTGCTATTGGGCTTCTGAAATTTTCACTTTGTAACAGCATCTATTTCTGAAAAGTAAAAGTTCTGTTTCTAAACTAAACTTTCTATATTACACAGACTAACCTTCATTAGGTAGTAAATCTCTAAAGCATTCTTTAATTTGAACTCTTCAAATTACCCATGGATATGCATGCATATGTTCAAAGTAAGTTTCATTGTTTATATATAGATAAGCCTCAGACTCTGGTAGTGGGTAATATATGTGAATAAAAATTTGTCTGCAGTTACAAACTTATTTGATAATTGGACCTGAATTAATGAAATACATGTTTAATACCAAGTTATTTTGTTTGAATTGGTGCATTAAAAGGTGTGACTGATTCATAAATAAATATTATATAAGCACTTGTCAGCTACCCTGACCACTAATCTCTGTCCCTTCAGTAGTTTGAGAGTAGAAGGTTCCTGGGAGCTGCTGCTTTCACTTTACTACACACATCACGGAATTGTTTTCTGCCCCCAACGTCCGCTTCCTACCATGGCAATCAGCCAAAAGGAAAAAGGCTACTGTCACCAATTTTTTTTTTTTTTTCCCCCCAAAGGATAAGGAGCTAGATTTTGACTTAATTTCTCTAGTATGATGATTTGCATTCTGTTAACTACAGACTTACTACTAATTTTCCGTATTAAGTTAAAGAAAGATGTTTTCATTGATCTTTAACATTTTTATTGAAACAAAACCTCTCAATGGCTTGAAACAGAATGGTTGGAATTTCTGTTAAAGGTTAAATTTTTATAGTTTCCCATCAAGACTGGGTTTGGGTTCGGAGTGGTGGGGTGTTTATTGCTTTTGGTTTTGTTTTTTAGTAAATATTTTTTTAGTAAATATTCTGACTTGTACTAATTAGGCACTAAACCAGTATTGATGCCTTTAAGTTAGGACTCTAGGTTTGTTTCTGGTATTCTTAATCTGCTAAAAGCTTATTGTTTTGCCAGAAGAGCTGTTTTATATGCTTAAAAATAGGAAATAGGTTTATATTCCTTAATCAGCTTTATGTCCAGAAGTATTCTTACTGTTTCTTCATTGTTTGTGTTTTAAGTTTGGGGTTTTTTTCTTTCTATTTCTCCTTGTCTCAGTTCTGTTATGAGCAGCTCATAGAGACACAGGCAGCAGTAACAGCAGTTTTGTGTTACAGAACAAAAGTTCTGTACTCTTTTTCAGTGGGTTTGAAAGTGAAATGTGTTTAGGCTTCCATTGGTGTTGACTTGTTGAAAGTCCCCCCTCTTTTCAATGCAAAATCATGCTGTTCGGTTTGACATTTGCCTTCTATGTTTTCCTTAACCTCACGACAGCAGCTATCTGCTCAGTTGAGAAACGTGAACTATATAAAGAACAGGCACATCATGTGATGATTTTTACCGTTTAGGCACAAGAATTCTTAACGAGCAGAATGTTCTGTTGTCTTGCTGGTTTTTTGGGTTTGTTTTGTTTTGTCTTTGGTTTTTTTACTGAGATTGTTACTTCTCATTTAATAATACATTTCCTTCAGACTTACATTTTCAGAAATCCAGTACATAAGGCTTTTTTTCAATGGATTGTGGCATAAACATATAGGTCATATGGCATCAGTTTTACGTAATTTCAACCTTTTAATAATTTTCAACAAAACTATTCTGTATTCATTCCTGTTTCTGTTACTCCCTGACAAAATAGTTGAGTACAGGTTAAAAATGTGGTAAAACCTGCAAACGTTAAGAGACCAACAGTGATGGGAGGTACTGTAAATGATCATCCTGGGAGCCACACTGTCCAGTTTTGGAGCTGTTAGAATACAAATGCTGTCTTGCATTGTAAAGTCTCCTAAGTCAGTCAACAAGCTGTGACTAAGATTAAATGCTAGTAGGTACCTACCATTCTCGTATCTATTTAGAAAAGTGCAGAACAAAATACACAGATATGGGAGAGCATTCCTGGGAAGCCTGTCTCTAGAAAACTGCACAGAACAGGTAATTCTTTAAACAGAAGAAAACAAATAAAGACCGGAAACCTTCCAATGGGGTTATATATATGCACGTTGCCCAAGTTCAACGTACTGTAACCTCTAGCTCACTGAATATTATTCAGCACCAAAAGATTTTGCATCTTGCTTAGAGGCTAGAGCTGAAGGAGGGCTTGTGTTTGTTTGTAGTGTTCCGTTTTTAAGAAGCCATTTCTTCATAAGCTGACTAAAACTCTTCATATTGGCCTGCTGTCACCTGAGCAAGAAAGTAACAGAGCCTCAAATCAGTTTATACCACTGGCATACACTGTACTCCAGGATGTTTAACCCTGAAAGAAACATGTAAAACTAAAGATTGGAGGTTGTCATACTTCAGTAAGCAAGGCTGGAAACCCACCCACCTCTTCTCTGGCTGTATGGTTAGTATAACTACCTTTCCTCTAGGACTGTAGAAATCTAGACTCCCCTATTTCCTCTGACATTTTTGCATTTAAAAATTACACCAGATAGACTTTTGGCAGACATTAAGCCAGAAATAGTTCATTCAAGGTTTTCCCTTCTCCTCTCCTTTTACTTAGCATTCCACTCAACTGGAAGTCTAAAAAAAAAAATCAGTTTTTCATATAAAAAGAACATAAAAGTAAGTCTTTTTTTTCCAGAATAACCTAATCTTTCAATGGTAAAACAATCTCAAAATAAATAGGATGCCTTCAATTTTTGTTACAAGAAGTTTTCCATTCTGGAAAAAAAGCACTGAGTAATAAATCCTGTAAAGATTCTTGAGTCTACTAGTAACTGGCAAATATCTCATTGTGTTTTAAATATGCTACCATAGAGGTAAGATCTATTACACATTTAGTATAACCATGTATTTCAAGATAATTCCTTGCTGCAAAATAAGATATTGCATGTGCTCATCTAATTACTGTGTTCTCTTACACTTAAAAATCAGCACGTTGCATTTTAATACCTTTGCTGCAACTAGCAGTGAAATGCATTCCCTCAGAGGCTTTGTCCTGTACTGTACATTCATTAAATGGGTGCATCTAATCTTTACATTTTGTTCTGTGATCTGGGGAGCGGGGGGGGGATCATACTGGGCAACTTTTCTATAAACATAAAGAAATGAACTGACTTAAGTGTTTTTAAATGTTTTATTGTCACATGATTGTTAACAAAACTCCTTCAAAACATTCTGTACATTTCAAACTATTTTGAATTGCAATACCCATTATATAAATGTACGTATATAGATGCCATGATGTCTCTGTACAAAGATGTACAATATGTACAGTAACATTAAATGCAAGCTGTGCAAGGCAAAGTCTAGGCCACAGATTCATGCCACTGGTTAAAACAAGGCATAGAACCACAGCTTCAATCAGTTCCTTGTGTGCAAATAAACAAATAAATGCAGGTATATATTAATATTAGAAAGGAGTAATTAGATTTGCAAGCTCAGTTCAGCTAGAACAACATGCAGCTGACTGGAAAAAATACAGTACTACTCTTGCGAACTTCTTCCACTGCATCACTTTGTTAGGTTGAAACATCTTTTCAGGATTCAGCTGCTACTTTTTGGTTGAGCTGAGGCGATGCCAGGAGATCGAAACTTTGGAAGATATAAACCAAATTTATTTTCTATACCAGCAAATGTAGCTGTAGCAAGTCTGTATCCACCAATGTGCTCAGGGTTAACAGGAGGAAGATCTGAAATTCGAGTTTTTGGGCTAGGTTCTGATCCAGGAGGTTTGCTGTTTGAAGAAAGAAAAAGAAAAAAAGCCTTTCCTTTATTTAAAGTGCTTTCTTAATCCTGAGTAACTCTACAAAATCTAGACTAAATGCTTACGGCTTTTGACCGAGTATGGGAGACTGTTAAAGCTGACCTTAATTAATTCACTTCTATGGTCAAGTAAAGTTGTGAGTTCCTACTTAACAGGAAATCAAGGCCAAAACTGAAGTTACATTTTCACTGATAGCTTTGTAAATTCTTTTAACTTCCAGTGACATGGGGAAAATGAACAAAATATCTTGCTACAATGGACATACAAATTTTACATAGTGTATTAAAATAAATATGAAATGGTTCTTTATCTCCTCATCTGTTTAGAAGTAGCATGCAAGTTTCTCTCACTTATATAAGGATGGGGGGATTTTTTTGCATACTGTAATTTTCAGTACAGGTGCTCAAAGTCACCATGTTTAAGTGGTCCCATGCACAGGAAAAAAAAGTAAGATTTTTTTTTTTTTTTAATTTGACAGGTTTTTTGTGCAAGCTTGAAAGCAAATATTTGACTTACAGGCCTCCAAAATCGACATCAAACCATCTCTGCAGAAGTTCATAAGTGACCAAAGTAACACCAAACTGGGGTGAAGATCTGAACACGCGAGCTGTTAAATATTACAAATCATAGTGTCAAAGAAAAGTTTCTCAGGAGAGAAGCTAAATATTTTTAACAAAATGTTACATTTTTCAGAATCAGACCTTGTAAATACTGCTCTAATTTGAGTCCTTAACAAAGCAAGTGCTAATTTGCAGATTCAGGGTCAGCCTTAATATTCAGAGTGCATTTCTCACCTCCAGCTCCCTTCCAAAAAGCCGAAGGTCCTTCTTCCCTTAGAATCTTTCCAAAGCAGTCAATAACTCCACTGTATGTTGTCTGACCAGCACGAGCTGCCACTTGCAGTCTTGTCTTGATGACATCAGCAGGGGTTACCAAAGAAGCAGCAGGCACACCTTTTAGAAGAAAACCACGTTTAATTTGCACAAAGAATCTTGTAAAAGATGAAACGCTTCTAACTGAAAAATGCAACTGCAAACTTTAATACTTTTTGCAAGAATTAGACATTACTAAAATTGCAAGTTCTTACACTTGATGCTAATGTAAACTTTTGTTCTTGGTATAATCCTTTTGAGTTTCTTCTAAATTTAAAGGCTATAATTGATAGTAAAGAAAATAATAAACTATCATCAACAGCAAGTCTCTCAACATCTTCTAGTGGTCTGTCATTAACAGTAGTTTCAAATAGATAAAAGAAGCATTTTTAAATTCACACATATGCTATATACATAATAAGAGATATCCATGACAAAAATCAGTTGTGCAACCTTACTGTATTTGCTAATACTCTACAACATATTTTGCAAATTACATAGATGATTGATTTGGGAACTTGAATCCTACACATCCATTTGTTAAAGGTATTAATAAGAAAACTACTACTTAAAACACCTATTCTACAGAAATATGTCTGTACTGCTGTTTGGACTGTTCTGTAAGAGAATAGATGCTGCTTACTTCAATAGGCAAGCCATAAAAAGACTGAGGACAATGAAGGTGTTTTACAAGTCTGCTTAGTACCAGCAGCGTGATATTAGCCAACAGTGATGGAAGAACAAATCTC